CAACAGGAAGTCGGAACAACAGGAAGTCGGAGCAACAGGAAGTCAACAGAACGGAGCTTCTGGGATCATCTGACCAAAGCTTTTAAATCAACACGAGTCGAAACACAAACAAATTGTTTCGGCGCCGACGGACACGATGTGAGTGCTGACGTCGTGAGAACCAGGAAACGCGTTTGAAGGTTTAAATTCAGAGAAAAGCGACTTTATGAAGGCGAAGCTGCTGCCTGCTGGACGAAGAGTTCGAGTCTGGAGGCTCTGAGCTGAAGGATAAACAAAAGTTTTTCCTGTTTCTGTCCTTTATGGTGGTTTTATGTCTGTTTTTACAGAACCGGCGCCTCCTTCTGGTCATTTCCTGTATTTTTGTTTCTATTTTTTGTGTCTTTTTTTTGGTAATTCTGCTTTTTTTCCATCTTTGTTTGTTTCCTGGTGACTTCTCCGTCAGTGTTTGTTTTTTTGTGTATTTTGTGAATCTTTTTAATCACATCATGTCCTCTTTAGTGCCTCCTTCTGGTCATTTTGTGTTTTGTTGCATTTGTTTTCATTCATTTTTCGGTTTCTGGTATTTTTTTAATCCATTTTCTTCATGTTGTGTTTCTTTCTCGTGTCTTTACTGTTTTATTTCTGTTCATTTTGTGTGTTTCAAGTCTCTTTTTTTCCCCATTTTGTGTCTATTTGTTGTGTTTTTTCCCTGTTTGTGTTCATTTTGTGTCTTTTTGTGTTCCCTTTAATCATGTCGTGTCTCCTTCTGGTCGTTTTGTTCTTTTGGCTCATTTTCTGTCTGTTTCTGGTACTTTTTTGTGTTTTTCTGCATTTTCTTCATTTTGTGTCTTTTCTGTTGTATTTCTGCTCATTTTGTATGTTTTTGTTCGTCTTGTGCGTCTCTTCTTCCATGTCTCAGTGTGTTCTCGTTTTACCGGCGTCACTCTGAGCCGCTTGTTTTCGGGTCGGTGGTTCTGAAGCTGCTGCCTGCTGGACTCACGTATCCGAGAAAAACTTCACGTCGTTTATTTCTGTGATTTATTGTGATTTTATGCTTAAGCTGCTGCCTGCTGGGAAATGGAGTCCTGAATTATTCCACAGTCAAACGTTATTTAAAGGTTTCCGTTTGGTTCTGTGGCGTTTCTGAGAAACTTCTCACCTGTGAGGCTGTTTTACTTTAAATGATTCCATTAGCTTACATCTTTTATTTTTATTTCAAGGTGTGATGGCAGCAGAAAACACTTTCTAAGAAAGTTTGTGGGTTTTTTTAAAACTTGTTTTTGCTGTAAAAACAAAAAAACTGATTTATTTTTATTTTGCAAATTATTTTCCTGTTTTTTTTTTTTTAAACGTAGAATCACAGAAAAATAATTAAATTATATTTAATTTTATTATAATTAAATAATGTGAATCAATATTTAACACTTTTTAATCCTTATAATAATAAGACGGTTAAATTATCTGCTGGTGTTGAGTTAAAAGTAAAAATTTATTTCCTTGTGTTAATATAATTTCGTACCAAAGAAGTTCTTGTAATGTGCCAGGTGAGGGCAGCGCTGAGCTGGAAGGTCAGGTGACTGATGATCAGGTAAATTGGTGGAGGCTGTGTGTGTTCTGGTGGATCAGTTGGAACAAAGCAGGCTGCAGGGTGGCATCAGTGTGGAGGACCTACAGAACCGCTGCTGGTATGACTGACCAGCAACTTTAACTCCTGCTTTTAATTTGATGACGCTGTGTGGGTGAAGAAATGTTGTTGCATTTAAGTTGGAGTGTTTATTTTCTTTGAAATGTTTAAAGCAATAACTGGTGTCATGTTTGTGTGTTTAAAGGTTTTCAACCTGCTGCGACTCTGTACGTTGCGTCAGACTAAAGCAAAAATGACGTCGTCTGTACCGACCTCCAACTTTTTCAAGTTTAGGCAGAACTGATGTCAAAACACAAATAACTTGACAGCTGGTTTCGATCAAATGTTTTATTTTTTGCAGGTTTAAACGGAGTGAAAATTAATTTTATAGTCAAACAAACAAAAACATTGTAATTTAAACAAAATAAGTGATTTTCACGTTATTTACAGACGCGACCCGTTTTGTTCGTTTCCTCACAGTTAACGGGTAAATTCATACTTTTATGAGGATTTATCAGCTGTTTTGTTTAATTTAATAAAGCAGAAGAAATTTTAGAAAATGTTGAAACTGTAAAATTGTGACCTGTCCAGGTGAACCTGCCTTCACCCTGAGTCAGCTGGGATAGGCTCCGCCCCCCATAGTGAGGGTGAAGGTGGAGAGATGATGGATGTAAAATTGTTTTGCTGTTTAGGAGAAAAAAATTGACATAATTTTATTTTTTTACTGTCATTTTTTAAAAAACAATTTGTTTTATAGATTCTTCCTGTTTTGTAAATTACTGATAACGAACAAAATTAGTGAAAAATTATTTTACATGTAAAACATGAAAAAGGCCAAAACTGTAAATAAGATCCACTTTGTTCATCTGGATATTTTTTTAAATAAAAAATTGTTCTTTTACAACATTTGACATTAAAATTAAAGCTAAAAGTTTTATTATTTTATAGAGATTTGCTTTTATTTCTGAAGCTCTTGAACTTGTAATGTTAGAATTTATTTTATTATTATAATTTTAAAGCATATTTTTCTGTCCTTTTGCAGCCAGATTTTCTCTGTTCTCGTCTTTATTCAGTGATTTGTTTTTAGTGTTTTAAGCTGTAATAAAGTCATTCATGTCCCTGTGAAGATGTTTTATGTTTATTGGGAGTTTCGTGATGTTTAACCGTCGTGACAGTTCTGAATTTATTATTAAAGTACCTTAAAAAAAGCACAGTTTCATGCTTTAAATACGTATTTAACATCCAAATACCGACGATTTGTATTTAAAAGACGTTTTTTGCTGTTTAAATATTATTTATTATTATTTTATTATCTCACTGTCAAATGTCAAAGATTTATTTCATTCTTGTGACGTCTTTTATTCGTCCTGAATATTTCTCTCTGATGCTGCTGTTTAGATTTCACACATTGATCCACATGAAGGACATAAAAAGTCTTTGTTTGTGTCAATTTGTGAAACTTTCTGACCAAACAGGCAGAACTGGGCGGTTCTGACGGACTTCCTGTGACTGGCTGAGGGGAGGCAGGTAAGAGTTAACCTGTTGGCTCCGCCCCCTCCCCCTCCTCCTCCGACCAGACCTGCTGCGACTCGCCTGCAGCAGATTCCTCACTCGGTCTCGGCGTCATGTTTGGATCCAGACTCTTCCTCTGCAGGCTCGCGTTCCAGAACAAAAGGATCCCGACGGTGAGTTGGAGCCGAAGGTTAAACGGAACCAGACGTCGGACCTGACGGGCCGATTTACAGTTGAACTCGTTGAACTCGTCTGAACTGAACTTCTTGACTCGAGAACTTTGGGTGTGAGCTGGTTTCTGAGTCCAGTTAGAATCAGAATCCTGCCGAAGGAACTCTTCAGTCTGGATCTGACAGAACCAGTTAGTGTCTCTGGAAACCAGTACATGTGTAACATAGTAGTACTGACACCACTGCTGGTACCACTGCTGGTACCACTGCTGGTACCACTGCTGGTACCACTGCTGGTACCACTTGTGTTGCAGGAGACTCCTGTGACCCGATCAGGGCGTGATTCAGGCTTCAGACAGTTTTCTGGTTCAAATGTGGATTTAAAAACAGCAACAGGCTTTAATGTTTCTGTAGCTAAACGTGTTTGTTGTTGACGTTATGTGCAGGACGTTATACGTTATGTGTTATGTTTTATATTTTATATTTTATGTGAGCTGAAGCGTTTGCTTTAGTTCTGGATTCTTTAGAAGACTGTAAATATCTAAACATCATTTTTATCTAAATGCAGTGAAAGCGTCCAGATGTCCATCCAGACCGAACCGATCTGTTTACGTCGGCGTTGTTTACACTTAGAGGTGTAAACAAACAACAAAACAAACATGTAAATGAAAACACTTTTATTTGGTTTTATTAGTTCTGATGTGGAGAAACACAGAAAATATGTGAAATATATATTTCCAGCGCCTGGTAGGAAACAAATCAGAATAAAAACATGAATATTATTATTTTATGTATTTTTTCGTATTATTGAGTTTGTTATGAAACCGGTCAAAATGGTGCATTATTAAAAATAAAACTAATCAGTTATTTAACCATAAAATTACACTATTGACTGATTTTAAATAAAAATACGTTTGTTTTACAGAAATGTGCTGTTATATGAAAAAAAAAGCAAAATATTAAAGGTTGAAAAATGAATTCTATTTTATTCCAGTTTTATTTAATTTAATTTAATTTTATCCTATTTTATTTTATTCTACTTTATTTTATTCTTTTTTTGTTTCATTTTATTTTATTCCAGTTTTATTTTATTCCCGTTTTATTTTATTTGATTTAATTTTATCCGATTTTATTTTATTCTACTTTATTTTATTCCAGTTTTATTTTATTCCCTTTTTATTTTTATTCTATTTTATTTTATTCCAGTTTTATTTTATTCCCTTTTTATTTTTATTCTANTTTTATTTTTATTCTATTTTATTTTATTCCAGTTTTATTTTATTCCCTTTTTATTTTTATTCTATTTTATTTTATTCCAGTTTTATTTTATTCCCGTTTATTTTATTTGATTTAATTTTATCCTATTTTATTTTATTCTACTTTATTTTATTCCCGTTTTATTTTATTTATATGCATATTCTATCCATGTATCCCTCCAGCAGCCTGTAGCCCTGCAGGTCTTCATCAGGTGGACTCGAGCGTTTCAGGTTCTCTCTGGTCCAGGTTCAGCGCCTCGTGAAGGAAACAAACGTTCGGATCTCGTCTCCACAGAGGAAGTGACTCACGGAGGAGTTTCCTGATGTTGAGCTTCAGTTTAAAGGCGTCAGCGTGAGAACAGGAAGCAGCAGCAACCCTCAGACCCAAAACTAACTCTGGTTCTTGTCGTGTTTCAGCCCGGTCCGGTCTGGAGGGTGTCCTGGTTCAGCAGCCAGCCGCCGTCCAAAGGTAGCGTCTCATTATCGTTATTGTCATTAACAGGACTGAGCTGGTTTGATCTGGTTTAATAACACGTTCTGAGGTACCAGTCCGGGTCCTCGTGGTTCTAATGGGTTGTTCCTTCTAACTCGGGGCTTCAGGTGTTTCAGGTTTATTCCGCCCTAAACAGGACTTCCTGTCAAAGTATGTCGAGTTTTTAAGGTTTGGTCCACTCAGGTGGTACCGCTGAGTCAGCAGCTCACAGGTCGAGTCGACCCAAACTACTGCTTCCTGTCCAAGTCTGCAGGAACCTTCTCTACGTCGACAACCAGTGCCTCTGATCTCACTTCCTGTCCTGTGTCTCAGATGTGTCGGTTCGCTACAGCCTCGGCCGACCCGTCCTCGCCCTTCGTCTTCCCTCCGGGTGTCAGGGCCGCTTCACCCTGACGCCCATGCTGACCACGGTGGGAGACCTGCTGAGGAACATCACGGCCAAAGACCCAGAAGTTCACACGGCCGCTCTGCTGAACGCCGGTAAGACGGCAAAACAACAGCGAGACACGATGCATCACCGATCGTCTGGACGCTGCTAAACCAAGCTGTCTGTGTTTGGTCCTCAGACGGACAGAGGATCTCCTCGTGCACCTTCATGGAGACGGTCTTGAACAAAGACTTCCAGCTGGTCATCAATGAAACCACCCACAGCGTCCAGGCGCTCGGACAAGGTAGGCCCGAGAGCGTCTCCAGGGGGCGCTGCAGTCCGCTGCTCCATGTTCATGTTCATAAAGGTGTGTTCTGACTGCAGGCTCGTCCCATGAACACGTTCTGGACGTGGAGGACATGAAGTACCTGGTCCAGCTGCTGCACTCGGCCCTCAGGCTGCCTCAGCAGCTGCATGAGCAGCATTCAGAGCTGCTGCTGAGGCAAGAGCAGCTGAGACGGCAGCTGCAGCCGCTCGAGACCGTAAGAATACCGCTAGTACTACTACTAGTACTACTACTAGTACTACTACTACTACGACTGACACTACTACTACTGATACTTGTACTACTACATACTGATAGCACTGCTGCTGAGACAAGAGCAGCTGCTCGAGAACGTGAGAATACCGCTAGTACCACTACTAGTCCTAGTACTAGTACTATATACTGATACTACTACTACTACTACTACTACATACTGATGCTACTACCAGTACTACTACTGATACTACTACCAGTACCAGTACTAACTACTGCTGAACTTGGTGTTTACATCACAGGAAGCTAACCTCATTAGCATGTAGCCCACCTTCTGCTAACAATCCCAGAATGCACTGGGCGTGACCGGATGACTGTGTCTCAAACCTCCAGGTGAGAGTGAAGCTGGCGCAGGAGGCGGAGTCTAAAGCGGCCATGCTGGGGTGGGCGGGGCTTGCCTACCTGTCGCTGCAGGGGGGATTCCTGGGTTACCTCACCTGGTAACAAACACACGACACATTAATACACCTGAACCTCAGTGTTACCTGGTCTCAGGTAGCCGGTGGTGACGGCCATGTGTGTCCGACAGGTACGTGTTCGCCTGGGACATCATGGAGCCCGTCACCTTCTTCATCTCCTGCACCACCAGCATGATCTTCTTCGCCTACTACATCCTGACCAGACAGGTAGGAAACGTCACCTGTCTGTGGGAGGGACACGTCTGAGGTTTAATCCTGGTTTAAGGTTAGGCTGAGTTCAGATTTAGGGAGTTTTAGGTTAGTTAGCTAGTTAGTTAGAGGTAAAGTTTAATATTAGGGTAAGATTGGATCAGATTTGGTTTAAGGCTAAGATGATGTTTAATTAAATTTAAGAAAGGTTAGGTTTAAGGTTTAGGATAATATTAGATTAAGATTAATGCTTGGCTTTGGTTAGGTTTAGATTAAGGCAAGGTTTAGGTTTACGTTTAGTTTAGCTCTTCTGTAAGACTAAGAAGAGGTTAGGTTTAAACTAGACTCAGGTTAGCTTTAGTTTAGCGCTAAAAGAAGGTAGGTTGAGGTTATATTCTGATTTAATCTTAGGTTATATTTTGAATTAGGTTCAATTAAAGATAGGTTTAGAATAGAATGTGTTTGAGGTTAGGTTTAGTTTGGGTTAGGTGTAGATTTCGCTTAAGATAAGCTTAGGTTTAAGATTTTCAAGTTTTAAGATAATATGAGATTTAGATTAATGCACAATGTGTTTTGATTGGATTTACTTTAGGGAGAGGTTTATGTTTAATTTAGCTTAGGTGTAAGATAAGGTTAGGTTTTAGGTTAGATTTAAGTTTAGGTTTAGTTAAAGATAAGTTTTGTTTAGATTCGGTTTAGCCTATTATGGTTTCAATTTAGGTTAACTTTACTGAGGTCAGGTCAGGTTTAAGTTAAGGTTTAGGTTAAAGTTAGATTAAAGTTATGTTTACATTTAGATAAGACTGTGGTTGAGGTTAGGTTTGGTTTAGGTTAAATTCAGGCTAGTATCAAGTGTAGGTCAGGCTCAAGTTACTGTAAGATCCAGGTTAGCGAGGTTAGCATTAGCAGTTCTTCTCCTGGACAGGAATGTGTGTCGGTGTCATGCCGCTAAAAGCGCCGTGTGTTTGTGTGTCTGCAGGACTTCATCCTTACGAAGGTGAGCGATCGTCACTTCCTCCACTACTTCTACCAGAAAGCTACGCGACACAACTTTGACGTTCAGAAATACAACGAGCTCAAAGACGATCTGGCAAAGGTGACGAGTCATGACGCTTTGTACGACTCAGCACAAACACTGTTTTCATCCAGTCTCTAAAGAGTCACACTTTGTTCAGTGGTAGCTCAACACTAGCTGCTAACAGCATCTCGCCTGACCGCTGACTAACCGGCTGTTTGTCTGCAGGTGGACGCTGATCTCCGGAGGCTCAGGAGCGCCATCCAGCTGCAGCTGCCGGTGGATCAGATCCGGCCTGAGAGCGCCGCCTGAAGCTCCACTGCTGCCACAACAAGTCCAACTAAAAAACACTTCCATCCCTTTTTACTTTCGGTAAAGACTAAAAAAACTAATTCATCACATGTTCAACTTCCTAACCGCCTTACTTTGTCAACTCCATCGTTTAGGTATGAAAAAAGTGAACGTAACCTTCATTCTGAATTAGCTGTGTAGAACATTTATATAATGTGTTTATTGTGTTCATTCTGTTCATGTTGGAGCTGGTCAGAAGTTGCATCATGAATGCTGTGGAGTGAAAACTGTAATATTTACGTCTGAACTGAAGCGTTTAAAAGGAATTGCTGTTACAAACTTTCACTTGACTAAATTTATTTGGGCTCCAACACTGTTTATTCCTGAAAAACATTAAAAATCTGGAAAACAAAACTCTACCTGAAGCACTTTACATGAACTTTTGTTTGCTGTTTTGTTAGCCAGAAGAGCTAACTAGCCATACGGGCTTTTATTTTGCCTGCAAAACTTTTTACAAATGCACATTAGCATAAATTGCTAGCATTTTATTACATTTCCATTGATCAGTTTATTAGCTAACTAGCTAGCCGTGAAAACATTCTCCTTTATACAGACAAATGTCAGTATTTTGTTAAATACATAATTTTGGTAGCTAAAAAAGCTAACTTGCCAGCCACAGAAACATTCTCATTTTGTCAGCAACACATTAAAAACTGCATTTTACTTACAGTTTTATAGTGTGACCTAAATCGCTAGCTATAAAGAAAAATTTAATTGTAACTTTGTTAGCTAATAAAGCTAGCACACAAACTGTAACAGTTTTAAAGCCGATTAGCCTGAAATGCTAGCTGTATCAACCAATGCTTTGTTCAATTTCAGTTTAGCCGTTTGTTAGCTAGAAATGCTAACTTGCTAGCAGTAGAAACATTTAATTGGTGCGCAACATGTTAAAATATGAATTTTGTTAAATGACCATTTTGTTAGCGAGAAAAGCTAGCTAGACAGTTGTAGAAGAATTTAAACTCTGCTTGGATTTGAGTGAAGCTTTTAAAAACAGACATGCCTCAATTGCTAGATGCTAAAGCTAAGTACCTAGCTGTAGAAACACTTACTTTACTTGCAATATATAAAACAACTACATTTCACAAACAGTTTATAAAACAGATTAGCGTAGATTGCTAGCTGTGTAAACAATCAGGTCAAAATGTTTGTTTTTGTTGATTTTGTGAAGAAAGCTAGCTGATTAGCTGTAAACAAGCATGTTTTGTTTGAAATGTGCACAACAACGAGATTTGGCTAGCCACGCTAAAAAAGATTAGCTTACAATGCTAACTGTAAAACAAATACCAGCATTTCTATTTAGCATTTTGTTAGCTATCAAGATAAATAGCTCGCTGTACAAAGTATGTTTTTATTTTGCATGAAACACATAAACAAACTGCATTTTACTGCACGGTACAATTCAAATGTGTATGACGTTAGCTAATCAGAGCCAATCAGGTTTTCAAACATTTTAGATTTTTTTGCATCACATTAAAAACTGCATTTTCCTGACAGCTGACAGAGAGCAGACGACGCTGAACGGCTAGCTGTAGCCGTACAAACATCTTTCATTGGTATTTCACTGAGTCCAGAGTGTGTTTTAGAACTAATCCACAGACACCAGTGAAAGTGTTTTGGTCGTCAAACAGCTCGAACTCGTTCCGTCTCATCAGGTATTGTATTTGGTGACTGCAGTCCAGCCTGTGTGGAGTCGGATCCACTCGAAGTAGTGAGAGACCTGCAACGGCAACGAGTCAACGAGTCGCTTCATCACACGTCAGTCAAGTCTCGAGACAATTAAACCTGCTTCAGTCATAAAACAGACTTAATTTACGGTTTTATGTCATCACTGTGTGCAGCTGTCAGACTCTACCTGTGTGTT